TTAAGAACCAGTTTTTTGGGAGGGTGGTAATCCTGACTGGTATACACTGAGGTGGGATGGTGGTGGTGTGCCAGGGAGAAATAGTGGAAGTGGTAGGTTGGGTGGGAGTCTAGTGAGGAATAGGGACCTGTATAGACCATCTGGATAACCATATGGCCTATTACCAAAGGTACTGTCATATGGCAAGCAAAAAAAAAAAAAAAAAAAAAGACACATGGACCTGGAGGCGCTGCACTGCTACGGAGCTTTTCAGAACCGCCAGCGGTGTACTTTTTTTCTCGTTTGGCTGGTTCCACCAGCTATCGTGGTCCTGTTGGCCCCAGCCGTGAAATTTTCCGAGTAGGAAATTCTTGTGTGTCATCATTTGGAGCTCTTGGGACCCTGCCAGCATTGATTGCCCTGAGTCTAAGGGGATTGACTGTGCAGGGCTTGTATCTTTAGGTGAACCGTAGACGTTGGTAGCCTGGGAGAAAAAAAAAACAAGTTGCCATCTTGGGCCCGGGGGGCACCTGGCCTCATGGCTGTCTCCCCGCCTTCCGACCGTCAGCTGTTGCTGATTCTCAACGATTGACTGTACTGTTTAAACTCATGTTCAGGAAAAAAGCTCAGCCGATTCTCAACGATCGACTGTATTCTTAGGCTCGTGCTGAAAAAATGCTCAGGGGCGGATGAGCGAATGACTCCGGTGGATGCCCGTGGAACGGTCTCTCTCTCTCTCTCTCTCTCTCTCTCTCTCTCTCTCTCTCTCTCTCTCTCTTTTTCTTTTTCCCGGTGGCTGTCGCCAGTTGACCACCGATCCCGCTGCCGCCCGTTCCCGCCCTCTTTCTCTCTCTCTGTCTCTCTCTTTCTCTCTCTCCGCCTCCCCCCCTTCCCTCCCTCCCTCTCTCTCATGTGTGTGTGTGTGTGTGTGTTTTCATATTAGCTATAAAAGCACGACTGAGCCAGACTGTTTGTCAGACTTTCACCGAATACAACACACACACCCACACACACTCAACCTCCGAATGAGTCGGTAAGAGTCCGACGAAACAGTCTGGTACAGTTATGCTTTTTTTAAGTACAGGGAATACACACACTCTCAAACTATACTTATCTTCCTAACACACACACACACACACACAGACACACACACACACACACACACACGCACCCACACACACCCACACGCAC